AGATAGCAGTGTTATTTTTCGGTCGGAAGAATGAGAATGATGCAAATCACTTCAATTGAGACTTCAAACTCTTACCTAGATATGGATGGACGGTAGCCTGATTTCCAGTAACCACCAAGTGGATCGTAAATTCTCTGACCGATCGAGGCAATAAAAATACCGTCGATTTCTAGAAGACTATGTCACCCACGCAGTTTTCTCCGACATGCCTCTCGCAAAACATTATCATTATTATACTCGTTGCTGCTTATCACCAGAACCATAATCAAGTAAAACATTAGTTTGTGGGCAGTAATGTGACTGATTTAGATTCGCATCACAATATAACGAGGTAAATACTTGGAAGTTTTGAAGGTGAATCTATCGGTACCTCTTTGGCAGGTAATACATACAAATTGACACTTGTATTGACTTATAAAAATGGCTAACCTTTTAACATCTTCGAACGTATTCGGAGAAAAACCTTCACGGAAACAGTAAAAAGTTGAGAAACCTTTTTTGTATAACAAAATACCCCATCAATAAACTCGGGATCCCATAGGAAATTCGAAAACGGTCATGTGAAAAATCATGAAGGGAGCTATTAAATTCTCGTCGAAAAGTTATTGGAGTTTTATTGTGAAATGAAAAAGTCCGAAACAAGTATTTATTGAAAAAGCTCTTCGGTTTTGCGAGAGTGGAAATAAACAATAGCTCAAAGGTGTTTCGATTTTTATTAGCTTATGGGAGCAGAAGTGCAGACAACTTAGGCGGTATACGGAACATACACAACACAATAGATAAGCGAATATATTATGCTATGATAGCTTAGAGCCTGCAATCTACCCAATAAAGGCATGCATTCTCATTCTTTATTGCTTTGATTGGCGAACAAGTTCAAAATCCACCTGGTATTAAGTGGTTACTAAGTGGCGACCCACTGAGAGGATCCGGCAAGGTACTCAATTGTTTTTTTTTCCCTGCCAAATGTAATGGTCTAGAGAGACCATATCAGCGTCACCGGGCTAGTAAGTGAGCTCACGGGGCTCAAACCTGACGGGTTCGACAAGAACGATGACCGGAACTTAGTGAGCAGTATCTCTGGATTAGTTCTCTCGTCGACTACGACGAAGAGTTCAACGAGGATGAGCAAATCAATACAATCTCACGGCTCAACCAATGTGAAAAATGCCTATATACATTGCAAAGCAAATTATATATTCGTCTTAAATCATGAAGCTCCATGGCATTTCACAGCTTTTGGGCCAACCTCTAAACTGAAACCCATGACTGCTTTGGGCAAAAATTTACAATATAATATGTACCCCTGTATGACAATTACACTCGGCCGCTAGTAATTACTTTTTTTGTGAATTCACATAACACGAGGTTTTTTGATTCACTATGTCGATAAATATTATATAATACTTTAAATGAGTGTGGAAATACTTTCCAAGATAGAACAAAATCATATAGAAACTTTGTGGGGACCAAAACCTTAAAAGAATTACAGCCCCCCAAGACCGATAAAATCGTCTGTGAACATATCTAAGAGATACTTTTCTTAGGAAATTGGTTTTCGTTCTCTGGGGCTATATACAAGTGCTTCGGGAATCTTATGGTTATGGTGTCGATGCCTCACGAGATACGAGTTCTTGAGACAACAGCTTTAATCGCACGTCTGATAGATAAATTTATATGTAGGATTGGTAAGAACGGAACGTATGAAAAGAGTGTGGAACGGTGCGTTAAGAAGTTAGTGAGAGAAAACGGAAAGAAGCCAAGAAAAGAATGACGGACAGAATGACACAGAGAGAAGGAAGATTTTTTTATTTATTTATTTAATTAGTCTACTTACAAATTAACAGTATAAACCAAAACATTTGTAAGGTATTAATAATTAGCTTAAGTAATTTCTAACAACAACAATAAATCGCTGCAAACCATCATGGAATATATCCATTTCCGGAGCATAGGCTAGCAAGCCATTGAGTAACGAGACAGCACGATGCGTCGGGGAGTTAGCGGTGTNTACTTGTGTCATCGGCAACAGTAACCGATGTATTTGTTGTCATAGCCAGCACCTCACATTGATTTTTGATGATCGTATTTTGTTCAGAAATAACACGCTCTAACCGCTCGACTTTAGTAACCAAATCACTGACCACTTGGTGTAACTCGCGAACAGTTTCTTCAATGCGTAACGAAGCCATTTTCTTATTATAATTTTTTTTTTTGAGAAATACGAAAGTCACTATAACACGTCTATACTCGACCGTACACAAAGCAAGATGGCAAAGACGGTTAAAAAAACGAGTAAGGTGTAATAAAAGTGTTAATTAATTTTTAATTATTATTATAACGCCTCGATCCTAAAAGAACTAAATATCTCTCAAAAGTTGTCGTCAACAGTGCAATCCAGGATTCTTCGATATTTTGGACACATATCGCAACGGCCAGCAGAGTCTATCGAGAAACTTGTTATTCAAGGTAGGGTCAATGATAAGAGATCTCGTGGACGAATGCTGGACTGATCAGGTGAAATATCTCACTGAAACCCCACTTAACGAGTGCGTGCGCCAAGCCTCAGTTCGTAAACTATAAAAAAACATCTGTCAAAGCTTTAACAAACAAAAATTAGACATGACCACGACTGCTCTGCCAGGAGCAACCGACTATGATGATGATGATAACAGAAGGATTTGAAACAGTGGAAGTTTTGTTTTATGCATATATAACTATATATGTCGCATCCGGAAACGACAAACGAAACGAACGAGCCACCTTGTAAATGTGAGCCGCAACTACTCGTCAAACATCGGCTCACTTCGGGTGGTGTGCTTCGGCAAAGTCGAGGTGTCGTCGCTCGGGTTGAATCAAATCACAATAATTGTCTGACTTAGGAAGAGTGTCATTGTTTCGTGCTGTCCAATCTCTTTGTACACAATTGTCTACTTCTACTGTCCCAAAACTCTCTTTACCTACTTAATAAAATTGTACTCTCGTAAAACGTGAATATAATTTCTCCATCACAATTATTCTAAGTGCGTATAAATTCTGCCCCTCCTTTACCTTTACGATTGCAAAAACGAGCGTTTCTCTTTGATCATCGAATTATTTTCTGTAATGTAGAAAAATTCGCTCACACATCTTCCATCTTCGTATTTCTTTTTCAATCAAACAGTCACTTGTAATTGAATCGTTTGATGTTTATGGAAAAACATTTTTGCAATAGTAGGATAACCTTTAATAAAATATTTTTCGAAATTTCGATCTCAAATCAGCATCAACTACGCTAAAAATAATCATAGTGATACAAAAACAGAAATCATAATAACAGTCATTAATATCTATCTCTATTTATGTATTTTTTCTTTCATATCACAAACCGCAGACAGGCGACGTATTTTCCCGCCAGTCGCCATTTGCTCGCGTAATTAAACGTCAGTCCGCCATTTTGTTCGTGCCATAAACATGCTCAATAACGTGGATATTCTTTCAGATTTTTGTGAAAAAACGTTTTATCGTATAAACTAATTTTATTGCCTTGTGGATAATAATGCAAATCGCTTCATAACTGAACTTCTAGTGTGCTATACCTACCACAAAATAAACTGTCTGAAATTAGATTGACTTTAATCTATTATTTCAAAATTGCAAGCTTAATATGATCGTTTTTTAATTCTTTTATATCTACAAAGTAGAAGATAACCCAATAATAAATTTGGTTTAGGCGAACCACGTAATGATTTTTAAAAGAGAGAAGAAGCAGAAGATATTCCTTGCTTGAAAATGAGGTCGGAGAACTCAGGTGTGTTGAAGAACAATCATCCACCTTTCAAAATGGAAAGAGTGAATCGAAGCACATCTTCGTCGTTTTAAAGGCATTGGGGACCAGATGAACACTACAACTTACACAAAAATGTCGTTTATTGTATTCTCTGCGTTCTGGAAGAAATAAAAATCCAACGCTTAGAACGAGACGTTGTTACCGTATCGTAGCTCGTTTCAGTTCACGGGACGTATATGCGAGAGAGTATGAATATTTAAAAAAGTTTTGTATTTTTTTCTCGTCGCCCATCTAAACCTGGACGTGTTATGTTGACAAATTGAAGTAACAGTAATGACTTTGAAGCGAAATTCGAAACGAATAATTTCGTTTATCATTGCTACCTACATTTCACGATTTAATTTTTATACCGTATGCAAAGATTAGGCAAGATTGATGACGAAAAACCTATAAGGCTGATTTATGTTGGCCTAGTGACAGACGACCGCACGGCTCGCAATACAAGACGAGGACTTTTGGAATTTAGACCTTTGCCTTATGTCTCGCGGTGACAGTGACATATTTTTCCCGCGCCACAGCCTCACTCTCTATTTCTAGAAATAATTATCTATACAAAAAAAAAGGTTGGTGAAGAAAAAATTCGGAAAAGTCGCTGTAGGTATATTTTAGTGACAGTCTAGCCCCGAATTAAATTAAATGAGATCTTTCATAATTAATTTTTTTTTGTCGCTTGCTCATATTTAATTGGAAGGAATATGAACATTTCTACTGAAAACTCTTTTACATAATAAATGCACGTGACGACACACGTGACGTGTTCACATACAACCAATTACGCAGTCAACCCTCGCATCCAAATGATTCACGCCATCAAAATTCGGTCAGGCGTCGCAAATAACATTGGCGCTTGGTGCATGGCCCAACGAACTCCATAATGGACCAAGGATACTGCATGCATTATGCATATTTGTGTCGCAATTGCTAGAGCAACGATTTTTGCCATCCCAACGCAGGTAAACTAATCAAAACACCTTCTAATTACGCAGGGAAAAATTTCTCCACAATTCATGAATATTTAAAAAAGTAATTTTCGTAAGGCCACCTCCGTGTCGTTCGTAACCGTGTCACGTACGCTAAAACAATGACACTGCTCAAGAAACTAATCGTTCGTATTATGCAATCCGCGATCTTCGCTTAAGGGGCCAATGTCGCCTACCACTCAATCAGAATATAGATTATGAAGGAGAAACGTCCGGTGCGGAAACTGATAAACGGAAAGAAATACTATAAAAGCCTCAAACTATTTGACGGACAGCATCATTCGTTGACAAACGGTCCGAGTAGCAACATGAAATCGTTCGCTTGTGTCGTCCTTATCGCAGTTGTCGTGGCAGCTGAGCCTCCCAGCTTCAGGCAGAACTACAGGTTCCAGCGACAGGAGGTGGAACCACAAGCTCCTGCTGACGCGCCCTACGCTCCTGCCGGGTTCAGACCAGCGAAGCCGTTCAACCTGCCCACTCGTCAAGAAGCAGCTCCACCGGCCACATCTTACGGCGTCCCCGACGACAGCTACCAAGCACCGACCAACACCTACGGTCTACCACAAGCAGCTCCCGACACAGAATATGGTGTGCCTCGCGACGAAGAAACTACAACCGAAAACGCGGAAAACCTCAAAGTTGAGGGTATAAACGAAAAACTCGAGGAGGCCCCGAAAAGTGACGCCGAAGTGGTGAGTTCGCAGGGCTCTTACTACGTCCTCCTGCCTGGATCTCAGCTGCAACGGGTACAGTTCCAAACGGAGAACGACGTCAGGAACATGGCGTACACCGCCCGTCTTCAGTACAAGAACGAAGACCGCGCACCGGTGTATGTGTACACAGCAGTACCGCAATACCAGCCTTCTGCTGCTTACATCCAGCTCTATTAGACTGAAGGAACCGATCATTCAATTTTCAACCCTCACGCCAAGAGAAATGGTTTGAAATTTGAATACTACGCTTTGATGTTTTATTGAAAACGGTTGAATGATTTTGTATAGGATTAAGTGGGACCGCGGGTATGCCCGGATAGTCACGCCATTCAACGATTGAGTTGCGCGCGACTGCTTAACCAAATATTTATGTAAATTATTCAGGTAGACAATAAAATCCATGCTTAACATAATTTTCGGTGTTTTAATATCATTTCGTTTACAAGACGTGACCTATTTATGTAAATCGTGTCAGTGGTAAACAAATTCGAGAACAGCGCCTAAAATATTCATGCCAAAAACGTTTTTACCCATCGATTTGTAAATTAAATGTTCTAAAACAAATCCAATACGTCCTTTTTCTAAATTACTTTTTTTATTAACACGAATATCTCTAGGAGTCGTTGTTAAGACAATGAAGTGAATTCGAATCATTATCAACCCGCAAAATTATAATTTGTGAGTCCGCGCGGGTAGGTGACACCGCCCTGCCTATTTCTGCCGTAATGCATTTCGGTTCGAAGGACGGGGCAGCTGTTGTAACTATGCTGAGACCTTAGAACTGATATCTCAAGGTGGGTAGCGCATTTACGTCGTAGATGTCTATAGGCTCCAGTAACTTAACACCGGGTGGACTGTGAGCTCTTCAACCCATCTAAGCAAAAAAAATATCTTTTGTGTATTCTCTCAGATTACTGATGCTTATAATCTAATATATAAAATTCTCGTGTCACAGTTTTCGTTGCCATACTCCTCCGAAACGGTTTGACCGATTTTGATGAAATTTTTTGTGCTTATCCGGTATCTATGAGAATCGGCCAACATCTATTTTTCATCCCCCTAAATATTAGGGGTAGTCCACCCCTAAATTTTATTTTTTATTTTTCAGACAACATTTTTAATTTCTATTTTTTTATGATACAACATACAAAAATACATACAATCCTCAATTTTCACCCTTCTACGATCAACCCTTATTTTTTATTTGCTAATTAAAAACTTTAAATTTTTCTGTGAGAATTTTGTTTTAATTTTGTCATGACGTAGAATAAAAAAAATCATATTACTCTGAAATTTTCACCCCTCTACGATCAACCCCTATTTTTTATTTGTTAATTATAAACTTTAATTTTTTTGGTAAGATTTTCATTTTTATTTTTATTTTGTCATGAATTAAAATATAAAATCTGATGTTACTCTCAATTTTTCATCCCTCTATGATCAACCCCAATTTTTTATTTGTTAATTATAAACTTTAATTTTTTTGGCAAGTTTTTTATTTTGTTTTGTCATGACTTAAAATAAAAAAAAATCATATTACTCTCAATTTTCACTCTTATACGATCAACCCCATTTTTCCATCCCGATTAATATTTTTTTATTCTATGCACAGATCCGCAATAAGGTTGCAAGATGGCAATCAAATATTAAAATTGTAGNTCAGCGGGTCGCGATTCCGATCCGGTAGTAGATTCATTCGCGAAGCAGCTGCTCTTGAGCTGTTAGGTCTCCTTCGGAGGCGCTCGGGTAGCTGTTAGCAATTCCCACCCCTCCTGGCTGAGCCTTTGCTCGCCCACCTGTCCTGGTGAAACTGGAAAGGCCTCCGGGCCACCAGTAATCCTTCAATCATAAAAAAAAATAAAAAATAAAAAAACTAATCTATACGACTGTCTTATCTATTTTGGCCACGAAGTCAAATAATTCGGTCAGTTTTTAATGTGAGCCAACTGTTGCCATTGACCTCATGTCACAAGATGGCAACCACTTAACAACATACGAGCCGTCAGCAGGGTTGGTTTACCCATACACGTAATAAAACGCAAAGAGACTACACTTAAGAAAAAATTAGTTGTCGAAGAATATCTCTCATTATGTAAGAGTTTATGAATTAAAAACATATATATTTAAATGTTAAAATATTCCTTTCGTTTTCCCAAACAGCATTGTTTAGATTCAAACAAACGATGTTACGAGAAACATGCCCCAAATTATTTTGTTTTCAGTATTGAATATACAAACGTACATATTTATTATGGTTGTCGAATCATGTTTTATGAACATTAATATTATCAACGTAATATCATAAATGTAGAGTTGTTTTTTGTTTGTTTTCATTATTAAAAGTTGTTTAAACTTTCGCGACTGATTAAAATTTAAACACTACCACATATTATTATATAACTGATTCTACTAATGTTTTTTTATGTTCAATTTCTCAGTGGGAGTAAAAACCCGTTAAACAATATTGTTTATAGTCATGAATAAAACTTTGACTGACTCGAGACCTTAGAACATATATCTCAAGGTGGGTTTACACATTTACGTTGTAGATGTCTATGGGCTCCAATGACCACTTAAAACCAGGTGGGCTGTTCTCTTCCACTCATCTAAGCTATAAAAAAATACATATATATTTAAGATTTTTTTTTAATCAGCTTGTTTGCTTGACCTATTATTATTGTTTATTAATTGTTAGTAAACATATTTTGTGTTTTGTATAATACCAATTATTTAAAACCGAGGGTAAATAGTTCTACTTTTAATATTGATGAGGCATATAAATGTCGAGTGAACGCAAACTTCAAAATCACCCTCATCATTATCCTGTCCTTCTCCCAGTCACCTGGGGTCGGCGCAACATGTTTTCTCCTTCCATACTTCTCTATCATAATTATACAATTTCTTCGCTCACTCCCCTCTAACCCATTTATCGTCTTTCACGCAATCCATTCATTTCTTCTTAGGTCTACCTCTTCCTCTATATCCTTCCACATTCATAGTTAACACTCCCTTACCAACCTCACTTTCATTTCGTCTCATCACATGTCCATACCATCCCAAACGCGCACTTCTCAGTTTCTCTGTCACAGGTGACACTTTCAGACTTCCTCTAACATATTCATTCCGTATTCTATCCATTCTCGTTACGCCACACATCCATCGCAATATTCTTTTCTCTACTGCATGCAACCGCCTTTCAAATTCAAAATCACCCTATGAACCCAAAATAAGCAGCGAAGTAGTATAAACTCAGTAAAATATTTACGCTGCCAGCCCTCACTAAAAATGCTTCTGTATTGCGTGGCGCGACTCAACTTGTCACAAATACAATGTGTTTGCCAAACACACTTCTGTATCAACAGCATTAGACACAGTAGTGTGGGGGCAACATGCAAAAATATGAAATGCTTTTGTCCATTAAAATACTTACTTAATTTCAATTATTTGAGATAGTATTTGACTTCTACTAATCATATTAAATACTAGCTGTGCCGGCGACTCCGTCCGCGTGGAATAGCGACTTTGGGCACAAGTTTTTGGACATATCTTTTGGTTTATAAACACAGTCATTTGGGTATTTAGAAAAATCCAATTTAAATTAATGCTTCTCTATACACGACATTAGACGTATAGTCATCGGGGATCAAAGTATACAGGTTGCTAGAATTGCTAACACATGACAGAGCTACATAAAACTGACCGCGTGAAAAACAGTTAACACTTAGGTCTACACCCACAACTTTTAGCGTCTGATTTTGGGCTTTATTTATTATCATCACGAAACATAGGCTCACTAGAAACGCGATCGGCAGTGAGTCATACTTCCCGTTCTTCAAGTGTCTCCTCATAAGACCGGGATTTTGCTGTCCAAACCCTCTGAGAGCTCTGACGGATTTCTCTATGAGTAAAGGTCTCAGACTCAAGCGATAGTGCATGAGCCTCGCATCGGCAGTGAGACGTGCTTCTCGTTCTTCAAGTGTCTCTTGAGACTCTCCATCTCACTTACACGTTAGGATGAAGCTGAAATAGCCTCTCAAGACTTTCAGCAAAGGGAGGGGAAAAAATTCCGGATCCGGACATATTTACATACTGTACCAGCCTGTACCTCTACCTATACTATTCTTTATTTATTAATTCGAGAAGCAGACATTACAATACGTGCATAAAATTAACAGAGACTATTTTAAAAACTATCTTTCTCCATTCGTTCGGTGAATCTAGCATAAACCCTCTGAAGTCACTATAAGAGGAGGAAAAAAGAAGAAGAAAAGTTCGGTGGCTTTTAAGAAACTATCAATGAGGTGTAGCGCATAAGAAGATCCGTTCTTTTCCCTAAAACAATTTAAGCGCACAGCTTTAAACAATCCACCAATAAAACAGCAATAGGAACCAAAAATATCTAAATATCCCAATAATACTAGAGGTCCCGCAGTAGTCGAAATTCGATTCTAATTATAGTCGAATTTGTACACTATTATGATTGTATTTTCAACGCAACACTATAGAAAAATATTAATAAAGACAAACAATATTTAATCTATTCTCAATTTGACCACAGACGTCAAGAACAAAAGTTTGACAATTAATAAATAGTATGCATGCGTGTGTGTGTGTATGTGTCAAATACATAGTAGTGTGTGTAATGTTTTCTTTATTGATTTAATGTATCTTTTATGCATTATTTAAAAAAAATATTAGCATTGTGTACTTCTCTATATCTATACTTCTATACTAATATTATAAAGAGGAAAGATTTGTTTGTTTGTTTGTTTCGAATAGGCTCCGAAAGTACTGGACCGATTTGAAAAATTATTTTTCCATTAGAAACCGACATTGTCCCTGATGAACATAGGCTACTTTTTTTAATATTTTTTTTTTGGTTTCATGTGTGTTTTAATGTTTCCGAAGCGAAGCGAGGGCGGGTCGCTAGTTCTCTATAAGTGTAGAAAATTTCAGTCCTCCATCCGCGCAATTTTCGTAAAACGGGATACAAAGTTTTTGCTTCACGTATTAAAATAAATAGCGCAATAGTGTGTGTATGTCTACTACGTATGTAACCACATCAACAAATCTTAACGAGGCAAATCCATACAAGCGCATACAATGCGGCTTCAAACAAAAGGCTGTGTTGCTTGCCTTGTTCAGTCACCAATGAATATCAAACACCGCGATATCATTAGTAAGTTTACGCGACTTTGGTTCAAGGGTCTCCCTATTGTTTTACGGGTTGCGTATTCTAACGAACATGATAGTACATACATACATATATGTATATGTCGGAGAAGCCACAATTATTAACACAATCGTCAGACATCGTAGGGGCGCATAGGGTGATCGAGCTAAGAGAAATATTGAGTACACCAATCATGTTTGTTGTCTTA